CACCACCATCCACATCTACCTGCTCCCAGCCACCAACCAAGAGGCCAAAGAGGGGTGGGGGTGTATTGGCCTTCCTGAGGGAGCAGGCCCTCAAAGATGAGGCGAGAGACCAGGCTCTCTATGAACAAAATGAAAGATTCCTAGCAGCCATGAAAGACATGCATAATAATAAAGACAAATAAAAGAAAAGTAAACCTTTGAGTCCTGTTGTGTTAAATGCAAGTGAAAACAAAGGTGTTCAGTTACTGAAAAAATGGAATAGTAATGACCAACACATTGCATCAGTCCCCATAATGCCACTTTATTATTGAGGTTGTAGTGGGTGTTGCTGGTGTACATTATATTGTAAGGTGTTAAATATTTTACCCACTCTGTTCCTAATGTTTTGCCCCCCTCATGTTAATGGAGTGGGCAATATATTGGGAACAATGTTAAATCTAGCACACTCCAGTACACCACCACCACCCACTGTGACCTCAGTTGTAAACAAAGTAGAATTATAACTTTCTGACAATGTTAGAACTGAAAATGTATAGCCTAAGCTTAAGAATAGACGGAGTTAAATTCTGGTTTAAATACTCGGCATGATCTTAATACCTATGAATTATGTCATGGTGTATACTGATTTGGAGAGACTTCAGTTTTCATTGTCCTCTTAATATCAACTTTGTTTTATTTGATTTATTCCCTGTGAAGAAATTTGATATGTGGGAATATGAGTTCTATGTATGGATACTCCTCAAGCTGGTGATCAAAATAAGGAAAATATAAGAAAAAAATAGACTGTGGCAGAGTTGTATTGGTTTGCACAGGTGTACCTGATAAAGTCACAGAAAGATCTACTATAATATGACAAACACTGTGTGAAAAAAACTGAAGATGGGTTCACTGGGATGGATAGAACTCAGCTGGGAAGATGGGTGATTGCCCAGAATTGAATGCAGTGGTGTTGGGCCCTTAACTGCCTGATAGTAGCCTAATATCTTTGGGGAATCAACGTCACATTACATATCCACAGTCTGTATCAACCATAATAATTTCAAGGCACAATCATGTCAACATTTCAAGGTGTTTACTGAGTTTTGTGGTCGTTTTTAAACTATTGTAAGCAAATGACAGATGATGATTGATTGACATATTAACACAGAAGTTTGTGTTTCAAGAAAAAGGGATATGAAACGTTTTTATTTAGATGATGTTTTTAATTCAACATGTTTGCAACTTAAGAATGATATGTACAGTAGTAGATTTGTAAGCCTAACATATTTGCCTCTCTTGCATACACTTGAACATTTGTCATAAATAATCGCAATAATTCAGGAGGGTGAGTGTGAGCAACCATTTTCAGCTTTTCAGTTTTGTGACTGTCTAGCTATCTTTTTTAAGTCATATTTTTCACTGTGCTGTCCACGTTTATATATCCTGCATGAAGCAACATGGTAAGTAGGCACGGGGCGGAGTATCTGAGATGCGCTTTTTGTAGTCCATCTTCGGTAAACTGTAGCAAAGAGCATAGATACCAAGAGGCGAGGCTCCGTTGAATTTTTGCCAACAGCCACTAGGGGCGCTGCGGTAGCGCTGCCGCCATTTTGGACTGTTGAGCTTGGACTGTTGTTGGACATCTAAGATGTCAAGGAGAGAGTAGAAAAAAAGGAACAGTGTAGTGCAACTAGAGAAGCAATTTCTGAAGAAATTGCGGGTGTGAATGCTGCGAGCTGAAGCCACGCTGCAATGCTGCCTTGAATACAATGAAGTTTGAATGATTTGAATGTTTGAAAGTTTGTTGAAAAGCTGACTCCACACTGAATAGCTGCCTTTAATAAAATAAAGTTTGAATGATTAGAATATTTGAATGTTTTACTGAGATTTATGAAATCCAATATGGCCGCCGCCTAGTGACGCCACAATATGCAAATTAGATGAGTTAATTTACTCCCATCAGATTCCTCTTCCTTTATTTTGAGGATGAGACAACAAAAACAGCACAAAACAAAAGAAATGTACTGTGTAAACATGTTCAAAATGCTGTTTTACTGAGATTTATGAAATCCAATATGGCCGCCGCCTAGTGACGCCACGATATGCAAATTAGATGAGTTAATTTACTCCCATCACAAACTTTGGGTCATGATGAATAGTTTTCTCATTTACAGTATGCCTTTATCTCTCACCACTTTCATGCGAAAGCCTTTTGAAATGTTGAAATGAATATTTTCCTCAAATAACTCTGGCAACTAAAGGGTTAAAATGGAGATTGTGCCCCTGTCATGTCTGCATGTAAGATGTAGACACACACACACATCATGTTTCTGTGAGTTTGTGTGGCACAGCGGTTGCCATGGTAATAAACTAGGTGCACCTGGCAGAAGAGCAGAGAGAGACAGACAGAACACAGAGAAGAGAGCTCTTTTAGAGGAGATTTAACTCCTCGAACAAATTCTTCGCATACCCAAAGCGTTGGTCCCATCATGAAAATAAAGTGATGGTGAGAGACAGCCACTTCTCGTGAACGTACGTGTCGTGTTTTATATTTCTCGAGTCCAAAATGGGGTCACCAGAGCGAGTTACAAATGTGTTGCACCTCAGCTGTTTCCAGAAATTTCTCCTCTCAGATTACATGGGAGTGAATGAGAAAAAAATCGGCGCTCCCTTCGCTTTGGAGCCGCTCAGCAAAAATGTGTACATGTGACAGATTCCATGTCAACATTTCTGTGACCAGGACAAATTTTCCTACGTTTTGTGGTATAAATTGTGTATGTACAGTGAAAATTGTGGCCGTATGAGCAAGTTGAAGAGAAAATTCAAGTATGAGTAGAGGGCTGTGTGTGTGTGTCTGTGTGTGCAGCCGTTGCCATGGCGATTCCTGACTTGCCTGCACTTGAGGGGCACACACAGACAGCTCATGAGAGAGCAGAGGAGCAAAGGCTGTTTTTAATGGGTTTTCACTCCTCGAACAAGTTCTTCGCATACCCAAACCGTTGGTCCCATCATGAAAATAAAGTGATTGTGAGAGACAGCCACTTCTTGTGAACGCACGTGTCGAGTTTTATATTTCTCGAGTCCAAAATGGGGTCACCAGAGCGAGTTACAAATGTGTTGCACCTCAGCTGTTTCCAGAAATTTCTCCTCTCAGATTACATGGGAGTGAATGAGAAAAAAATCGGCGCTCCCTTCGCTTTGGAGCCGCTCAGCAAAAATGTGTATGTGTGACAGATTCCATGTCAACATTTCTGTGAGCAGGACAAATTTTCCTACGTTTTGTGGTATAAATTGTGTATGTACAGTGAAAATTGTGGCCGTATGAGCGAGTTGAAGAGAAAATTTCTTAATTAATTTTCAGCTGCTCTTCACTCTAGTGATGACATCACTCACTCTAGCTCACGCAATACACACCCATTATAAAGTCTGAGAAGGGCTGAAAACTTCATGTATTTTAAACTGACTTTGTAGAAAAATTAAAAGAGATATTGAAAATTTGAATTAGTTCCTGAAAGTCGACAACAGCGTCAACATTTGAGAGTTGGAATGGAGTTTCTACGTCAATGTATGAATTCGTGATGTGTGGGTGAAGATGAGTGAGTTTGAAGGATTTTCTCATTGACTTCCATTATAACAAAGTTTCAGAAAACGCTGAATATTTTTGAAAGTTTGAATGGGATTGAAAAGTTGAATCATATGTAAAATGTCAGCAAAATGATGAATATTTTCCATTTTGAATGGAGTTTCTAGCTGAAAGTATGAATCGGTAGTCACAGTTTGAAAAAAGGTGAAATTTTTAGATTTTTGAGGATTCCGTAATGCATTCCCAATGGGAAAAGGATTTGGGAAAAATCGGAAATATCTCGGAAAGTATGAATTTTAGGAAAAAAGTGAATACATCCGTGAATGTCCTAATTCAGCTGAACGTTTTCATGTTTGAACGGTTTTAATCGGTTGAAGTTTGTAGAACTAGTAGAGGTCCAACCGTTTTTGCTCCATCCGCTTTAATAGAAGTCGGAATTTTAACGTTGAATTCCCGGGAAAATATGAAGGTTATGGAAAAATTTGAAAGTTTCCGATAATGTCCTAATGAAGCTGAATCTGAAGAAGTTTGACTGGTTTGAATCGGTTGAAGTATGTTGAAGATAATTGATGTTGAAAAACGCGGCGGAAGAATAATAATAAGAAGAAGAAAAATAAAGAATTTTGGTAGTAGAAGAACATAGGTTGTGAATGCTTGCAGCATTCACACCCAATTAACTGCAACAACTATCAGTGGAACACCCCGCACCTGGCCTTCCACCGTAGGATCCCGACATGTAAGAATTCATATATATGTATATATATACGTCGCCATTAATGTGTTTCTAGTTAAAATATTGATTTTTTTTATTTTTTGGTAGATTGGCTTATGGGGTGATTTTGAAGGAGTAATTAAGTTAATCTTCTCATAAGTGGATGTAATATGTAGAGATGCCATCTCGGCCGTTTTTCTTCGTTTTCTTTTAAGTCTATATTTTGCTTTACAAAAACAAAAAGCAGCTGTGACCAAGCTATCACGAGGTGAGTAGCACTGTCAGCATAGTTTGTCTGTGTGTTTTTGTATGTAAGCGGGTCTGCTGACAGTCCAAAATGGCGGCGGTAGGACGAAACCATGGGCGACTCTGTTGCTATGGGGCGTTCTATTGAGCTTCACCTCTTGGTATCCATGCTCTTTGTCCATGCTCTTTGACTGTAGTTTCACCGGTCGACCTACGTCCCTGACATCCGCCGTCGTATGATGACGTAGCCCAGCGTAAGTGCGGTCGGATTCTCTCAGCTCCGCGGTTCTCTTTTCCTAAGTCCTTATGAATTCTCCTACTCATCTTTCCTTGACCTCGTGACGTTTCCCACCGAGGTCAAGGAAAAGTGGTTAGGAATAGACGATAGGAGGGACTTTCCGACCGTAGCCTTGGGACGTACCCCAGGAATGATTGTCGCCGCCGCGGTTTACGTCAGTTGTTGTCGTTTTACGGCATCCGGCCATTTTATTTCTTCAGAACAGAAGCAGCAGGTTGCACACATTTCACTGTTTTGTCTCCGCACGGCCCGGGCACGTTGAGCAGACCGCCTTAACTAAGTGTTTGTCCGCTTATGTGAGAGTAAGTTGGTCTAGGGGACCTATATGTATATGAGGCGCATCTTGCTTTGGTTCATGGTCTGACTTTGTGAAAACGGTGAAGGAGAGAAGGTAAGAATCCCGCTGAGGCTCCTTGTTAGCATTGTTAGCTTGATGGCTAATATAAAAAGCTCCACTAAAGTCTCAACGCTACACTGTAGAGATGATAGCTGGAGTGATAACGGTTAGCAAATTTTATTATTATAATTATTATTATTGTAGCGGTCACACTGTTTGTATATAACATTAAAGAATTATGTTTGGTCAAGTTATCAAACGTGTGCAAAGTGGGGACATGCTGTGGGGAAGTCGTTTTAATGAAGACAAACATTTGGCACATCAAGCTAACGTTAACTGTCTTGGGAGCTTCCACTCTTGGTGTTGGCTTGCTTTTAAACATTACTAGTAGATTTTTGCAGCATGTCAGATATTTGTTATAGTAACACTTGTACGTGATATTGGTAATTCAGGTGAAAGATGACGCAGTTTTTACCCCCGAATTTGCTGGCCCTCTTTGCACCGCGGGACCCGATACCCTTCCTGCCTCAGCTGGAGAAGTTGCCCCACGAGAAACATCACAACCAACCTTACAGTGGCATTGCTCCGTTCATCAGACATTTCGAGGTGAATATTAAACCTTCTGAAATATTTGTTTGCTTTCATTTATGTTAACATTTCTTCTTCTGCGCCACATTTCCCATGTTTTCTGAATTAATCTTTCCTTTTGTGATCAGGATCCTAGAGATGCTCCTCCACCAACAAGAGCCGAGACTAGGGAGGAGCGTCTGGAGAGAAAGGTGAGATGAAATGAAGGACCTTGACATGTGCTTAAAAGGGGCATTTTAAGACTCCTCTCTTCCATCTGTGAAGATGCTAGTTCTGATTTGGGCTGCTACACGAGCCTTTGTATTTGACTCCCTATAAGACTGTGCCTGGTGCTGTATTCAAAATGAGACAAAAACAGAACACAACAGAAGTCACTTGAAGGGCCAGTGTGTAAGATTTATGGGGATTTTAGTGGCAGCTTGCTGTGCGGATTGCAAATGTAAACAATGGCCACTTAAGACATTCTTTTCAGGGAGCTGAATTATCCACAGAGGTCTCCCCAAAACAAATGAACCAGGTGATTAAAACAGGTAAAACACTGCATAAAGCATTATCACATTACAAATCTCTGTCTCCTATTGTGTCTGGCATGTCATAGATGGCCTGCTTGCACAGTGACTGCTGATGTTTTGTCTGATAACTTAAACATGGTAGTGCAATATGGCAGTATCCATAAATTGAGACCTGGGGCCTCATTTATAAAGCTTTCTTAAGCACAAAACGGGGCTTGAAAGTGGCGTACGCCACTTCCCACGCAAAGGTTGTGATTTATAAAAATAAACTTGGTGGGAGAATGTGCGCACCTGTAAGTCATGCGTGTGCACATTTTGGAGACACTAGGAAGTGGCGACGCAGATGGCGAGGTGGAGAAGTGGAGTCAGATTTTTATTGACGTCTCACACAAATTTAATGTCACACTATATCCACCTTAGATCCACGTTATCATTGAAATTAAATCCAGCAGCCTTATTCTGCGCTTGGAGTGAGTGATAATTGTTTCATAAAAACGTTGTAAAATCCAACTCAAATCCTGAATTGAAATTCTTTCTAAATACGTATTTAATCCACACTGCCTCTAATGTCTCATTGTCCACTCTGTGAACGCAGGAGGGGGAGAGGACAGTGCGACTGCATGGAATATATTTATTTAGCTAAATATTTCCAGTGCATTTATCATGTCTCGAAATACAGCCATGAAGCACAACGGTTACACTCATTTCATCAACCCTACTTAGACATTTGCTGTCCATGACAAAACCGGCATGAAGAAACATGTTCGCCTATTACACTTTCATCTTTGAATTGTATTTCAAATTACATGTTGTATTTTGGGACAGGGATGCCACTGGTTCATGCTGTAATTCAGGCCGGGAGTCTGATCAGACTAATTGCCATAAACATATAAATACTGCGGTGACCCTCGTGTGTAATTGCACAAGATGGCACTGGCACATACTCCCTTTTGCCTCCACCTTTAATAAATATGATTCTTTATGTCGCAATGTCAAACATCCTCAAATTTAAAAGCAACACATTAACTACATGTTGGTAAAGGAGTAGAAATATTTGGTGTACCTTTAGATCAGACCACTTTTTTTTTTCTCTGTCACTGTCCGTGCAGTCCCACAGATATAGCAGACAGCATCAGCAGCGTTGATGTGTTGCCACTTTTTTTTCGCTTTCTTTTATTAGTGATCCCGCTGCTATGGCCAGCAAATAAAATCTTTCTTCAGTCCTCCACTTCTCGTTAAAGGGTCTCTAGCTCAGTCTCGGAGAAATTCCATTTTTGGTTTGTTTCTCACACCTGTTGCCATGACTCACAACGAGAGAACACTCACATGCCGGCTTATTATTTGCAGATCGCATTCATGAGGTGATTTGCATGACCATTTATGGTTGAACTAGAGCGTGTAGAGGGCAGAATATGAGGCAGATCTGGGTGAGCACAACTCCAGGAGGTCTGTGATTTATAAAGAGAACATTGCGTGCAAGTGTGCGTGCGCACGGTTTTATAAATCAGATTATTTTTTGGCGCACGCCATTTTCAGCTTTTGGGCGCACGTCAATTTTTAGTATGAATCCTTAGCACTCTTTTATAAATGAGGCCCCAGCTCCCTACGTAGATACAAAAGGTTCATTTTGTGGTAATTAGAACAAAACAGTTTTTATTTTCAGATGATTATACCCTAAAGAAAACACAAAATGGTATTGTATTCCATTTGTGCCAATATATCCCCCTAAAATCCTACACCCTGAACATTTAATATAAAACAAATCCTTGGCTGTTGTATAACTATATGTTGTAGCATGGTCAAATTGTAGTTTCACTGACAGTGTATAAATAGACGCTTGGATTGATCATGGTCAGCAAACACTTGGATGAAGGAGCTACTTATTGAATATTATTCTCTCTTAAAACAAGTCTGAAATCAGTTATGGCATCCCTTTGTGGGACAGAAACAATAATTTAGCGTTACCACTTTTGGCTTTGACATAATTTAAGTGCTGTGTTGAAACTCACTCATAGCCAGCATTTGTTTTCAGATTTAAAAGCTGGGGTAGGAAGAAATCTGGAAAAGACACCTTTTCCCTGCAGCTCTCCCCCTCTGTCCTAAGCCCCTCCCACCAGACCCCTTTGAGCATGTGCACATCCTTCATAGGTAGATTTTCACTCCTGTCTCATCCCACTCCACAAAAAAATCCTGTTCTGTCCCAATCCTGCTCTCGTGTGGTGTTCTTAAATAATAACGGAACTAACATTTATTTGTCTTAGAACTACACATTAATTTTTAAAAACAAAGCATATTCAGTCAACTACATAGCACAATGCTGAAATTACTCCTCAAACACAACAGCTGAAAGAGCTATATAGTAAATATTTGTGACATTGTAATATTTTTATAGTATCTTTTTCATGTTGTATTGTAATTTTTCCATACTATATTTATGTTCCTGACTGTTGCAGTTCTTTGCCTTTAATTTTATTTCCCCCTTAATATGTTTACTATATGTATATTGAATGTACCAAACACCAAGGCTGATTTCCTTGTAAGTGAAAACTGACTTGGTAATAAACCTTATTCTTAGTGGAAAGCTTAAAGCGGATTTATAGTTGTGCAATGGCTCTACAGAGAGCCCATCTTGGTGGTCTACGCTGTTGTTAGCATTTCTGCTTGCGTGGCAGTGTGTCTGTCACCCTGCACCTCCAAAACACTAGTTGGCAATGGGGTTTCTGTGATGTGCTGTAAAATTTGACTGATTCAAAATACACCTAAAACACATTAAACATGGCTTAATAGCGACAGGCTCAAACACAAGTACACAAATTGGCTACAGTATAACTTGTAGGATACACAGACAAACACTTGTCTTTTACTGGACACATTTTCCTCATAAATACAATGTGCTAACATTATTAGTAAAAGCCTTTTTGGCATTTTCCATTGTAAAAATTAGTCTAGCAGCTAGCAGAGTTGTCCTCTATTTATATGTACCTGGGGACAACAGCAACATTTAACAAAGGTGAAGTTACAAAATTCAGCCCCAGTACAACTCACAGGGTTCATCAACAAAACAACTGTGTTATACTAGACAGGTTTTCCCCACATATACATATGCTAATGTTATTAACATAGGCTTATAACAGCTTACGTTTTATAAATTAGCCTAGGGGCTAGCAGACTTCTCTTCTACTTATGTGAAGCCAGGATAAATCACACACAGGATTTAAAATGCTATTTTGTGGGGGCATTGTTGTTTTCACAATTTTTTATCTATGAAATATAAACAAGTAAAAGCTTTGTTTCCACTGAGGCAAATGGTTTCCAGCTTATAAAATAAACAGGTCTGTGTTGCTGCGACATGCAGTTACGTCTCTGGGGATGTGCATGTCAGGCTGCAGCGTAGGGTAGGGATGGGTCACAATTTTCGAATAGTCGTTTTATTTTGAAAAATCGATTTTTTTTTAATGCGACTATTACTATTCGCCGTCTTATTTCCCCCCTTTATTTGACATGCAATTCAGCTCCTAACCGCACGAGGACAGTATAGGATTGCTACAGTGGTGTGAGATGGGCTACCAGCTAGTTTGATGCTCTTCTACAAACAAGAGAAACATGCAGAGACTACTACAGTCATCAAAAAGTTCCGTGTGGAACAACTTCAACAAAATAAACGAAATTGAGGTGCAGTGCAAACTCTGTGAGGCAAAGCTTGCGTATCACAAATCTACAACAAGTATCCACAGTCATTTGAGAGCGAGGCACGCAGGAGGCGGCGAGGGACCGTACGGCCGGGCTCAGCGGCGCGACACGTCTGCAGCGCAAGTCCCGTAGCAGCTCACCCCCCTGTTAATCAATTACAGCGGGTCCCCCGGCAACGGGAGCAGCGTGACAACCCCCGGCTGTCGCGCAACAACTCTATTTTACGCGGCTCTTCTATTTTTGTCGCGCTACGCTCCCCTACGCGACCCTCCAGCAGATAAAAACTACATGAAATAGTGTGCTACACGAGCACAATGTGTTTTTAAATTAATAAACCATTATCAGAGGTGATATGTGATGATTTTTTTTTCATGCATTTACCCATGTTTATCCGTGACATTGTGTAAATGTCCGTGGCGGACATTTGAAAGCGAGTAGATGACAGTACAGTAAACCTGTAGATAACTCAAATACATGTAATAACTTAGGTGGAAAATGCTTTAACATTTCATGCAGCCTACATGCAACCTCTCGGCTCAGCAAACGGTAAACAATCCCGCTGGCTTCTCTACGTGTCGCTTCCGTACGCAGTCAGTGGAGCCCAAATGGCGATTATTCGAAAAATCGTCGAATAGTTGCCATGATTTTCGAATAGTGTTTTTGCTTGTGCTGCCCATCCCTAGCGTAGGGTACAATTCTCCGCAGAGCCTATACCATTGGTACAATGTTGATTCTTCGATCAACAGAGTTTAGATCGGGCCCAAACAATCCAGCCCAACCCCGTCCGAGCCTGTGCATGTTCTGTCCGGGCCCGGCTTGTCCCTTTAACTGTAATTATGAGCCCGAGCCTGGTTTAAACCCGACATTTTTCCTTAAGGATATGACTGTGGACACTGAAGGCTGACTCTTGTCTTTCTTTCCATGGCAAGCCTTCGTCATGTGCCTCTGAAGTGTCGAGCCCCCCGTCTTTTTGCTGTCATATACCAGCATCGCGCTGCACTTGGTACACCCAACGAAGCCAACACACACGTTGTCACTGCCAACAACTCACATGTGCGTGGCCAATGAAACAGTGACACTGTGTCCCAATAGCAAACAAGCGGCCAACTGTCTAAATCTATTGAATCTATTGAATACACACTTATGTTACATCATGTATACGAAACATTGAATTATCAGCTGTGCACTCGGGATCACACTGGAGATGTAACCAACTAAAAAGATGGGTGTGTAGCGTCAATAAACTGACATTTGATCAACACATCACCGACATTCACAAAAGGTCCCAGCAGAGACTCCATGTCATCCGCAAGCTCCGTGCCCTCTCTGTTGCCCCCCACCTTCTGTCACTACTGTACACCAGTGTCATTCAACCCATCTTTCTGTACTGTTCCCCCTGTTTCTACAACATACTGTCCACCACTAACGGGAACAAACTAACAAAAATAACACACCGCATCCAAAATCATAAACCATCCCACACCCAACCTCACAGAGCTCAACCACCGAGCTGTCACACGTCTCGCACGAACAATAACTAATGACTCAGATCACCCTCTCAACCCACACTTCACACTGCTGCCGTCTGGGCGCAGATACAGGACCCTGAGGTGGAGACGGGCACACTTCAGCAAGAGCTTTGTCCTGTCTGCCATCTCTGCACTCAATAACCTCCCCCAATAACCTTGTATGGACCCAGCCCTCCTGAGTGTGATATGTGTGTTGGTTGTTCAATGTCTGGTGGTGTTTTTGCATTGTGTGTGTGTATTCATATGTTGTTCAATGTTTGGTGGTGTTTGTGCATGGTGTTTGTTGGCAGTGTTTTGTGTATCCAAATGTGACAGATTGTGACAACAAATTTCCCCATGGGACAATAAAGGCTATCTATCTATCTTGGTACGTTCCTGTGTTTGTAATGTTAATTTTTAAAAACAGAAAACACACGGTTTTATAATGTAAAATGGAATAAAGATTCTTGAACTTGAACTTGTGATAGAAAACACAGGTCGAGTCGGGCTCGGGCAGAGAATCTAAGCTCTAGCTCTCATTTTAGTGTAGAGCATGAGACTGAATTCACTAACACGCCATGTCAGGTCACTCACTCTCCGGGACCGCAAGTGTTACTTGAATAAGTAAACACTGTCGTGTTTTGCCTCCAGCTAACAGATTTAAGTCATTGTGACGTAGACCCTAAAAGGGTATATAATTGAATTAGGTACCATGAGTGTGATATTATCCTAAACCATTCATTTAACTGGACATGCTGAACATAAAACAACATGTGTGCTCATACTTACAGGCAGTGTGTGAAATTCACTGTTTGACTCACTGACCAAGGGGGCTGGTAGATTAAAAAAAAAATTTCCAGGCATGTTTTTTATTAGCCAAAATAATAATTTGCGGTTTTTTGTGTCACATATACAAGTTTTTAATACATTTCATACAGATAATAAGGTATTTTGTTGAATACAAATGTAAAGAGGCAGCCAGAGCAAAATATGAAGACAGTTATTTTAATATATTGAACAACTCATTTCCACAATCTCAGCATGTGAATAAGTTCCCAATGGTAAGAAGTGATGTAGTGTAGGGATTTTATTGTGAAATTTAAGAACGGAAGGAGTGAAGCTGTTGACACTGTGGGAGGCAATAAAGAGTTTGCCATCTTAGATCAGACTGCGGAGCTTCTGTGCTATTATTTCATCACCTTCCGAAGTATGTGCACAATGCTAGCAGCAGACTGGGACAGTAATTCTAAACCAGCACTAGCATTTTCCTGAGCTTTGCCATTTACAGAGAGCCCTTACTGAGTGGTTGTTGAGGTTTGACCCTTACCTGCTAAATGTTTTGCTTTTGTAGAGGCGAGAGAAAATTGAGAGGAGGCAAGCAGTGGTGGAGACAGAACTCAAGCTATGTAAGTTTTCACAGTGACATACTGTACACTGCAAGCTCTTTTTACTGGATATGGTTTCCTGGCTTAAACTAATTCTGCTTTCATATTTGCATTATATCAGGGGACCCTCATAATGACCCCAATGCACAAGGAGATGCCTTCAAGACATTGTTTGTTGCACGAGTGGTATGTTAAAATCACACATTAATTTGTTTCAAGTGTCCTTACATCAGGCCTGAAGAGACAGCTAATGGGATTATTTTGTTGATGTCTAATTTTATTCTGTCATTGCTGTAGAACTATGATACTACAGAGTCCAAGCTTCGTCGTGAGTTTGAGGTCTATGGCCCCATCAAACGGGTAAGTTTAGCTGCTGTTTCTCATTTGTATAGATCTGTTCACATGCTTACAATAAGAGTACAGTCCTTTAATTTCACCCTCTGTTTCTATGATCTGAAGCCCTATTGGTTAAAATCTCAGTACAGGTACTGTATCCCTGCCTACCTGCAGGGCCTGGAGGTCTTAAAAATGTTCACACTGGTTTGATATTAAACCAAACACCTGACCGAACCAGAATGTAACATAATGACACCATGTCCCAACAACAAACAAGCGGCCAGCTATCAAAATCTGTTGAATACACACTTATGTTACATCATGCATATGAAACACTGAATTATCAGCTGTGCACTTGGGATCACACTGGAGATGTAACCAACTAAAAGATGGGTGTGTAGCCTACTTGGTACGTTCCTATGTTTGTAATGTTAATTTTTAAAACAGAAAACGCACGGTTTTATAATGTAAAACGTAATAAAGATTCTTGAACTTGTGATAGAAAATAAACACAGAGTGGCCGTGCTAACATGATACACCAGTTAAACAAAATAGAAAGGCATACTCCTCTACTTGATATGGGAAAGAAGTCTGTTGCCTGGTTTTAGCAATTTACCCGTGTTTAAAAAAAAGCCTGTGTACACACACCACTTTTGCTGGAAAAGGATTACAAGAAACACTGCAAATGGTCAGGAATGATGACCATGTAAAAATTATAAAAATATGCAAGTCACTGGAAAAATAACTGTTCAGTGTAGCTAGGGCTGCACGGTATATGCGGTAGACGGTAGAAATGATATAAATTTGGCCCACGGTAGAGATTTGCGCTCTACCGTCCTATCGTCGATGACATCATCGCCCCTGCCTCAGTGTGAAAATGGCTGCGAGCACAGAGACAGTGGAGCAAGAGGAGCTGGTTCACGTCCGTGATTTAGCGTAGCACGTGCAACATGTGTTGCTGGAGTGCGTGAGTTAATGTCTTAAGAACAGCCCCGGACTTCTCAGACTCTTTTAGCGACTTAACCGCTCAGAGGGAACTCATTCAGTGTCTCCTCTGGCAGCAGCACAGCGTCTCTCCCTCTCCTCTCTCGCCGTGCGCACACGGGAGTTGGTTTTCGGCAAGAGAGTTTGTCATAAACCTTTGGTAATGTAAACCTATGTGATGCTAGGGGCTCCACAAAAAACGGCATATGTGAATGTGTGATAGTTGTGGTATCATAGCAGCCTGTCACAGGTTACAGAATGATGATTAGAGGAGAAATGGCAGAGCATAAAGGTCCAGGTGGAAAAACACAACTCAGTCATTTAGGATTTTGCTAAAAGAAGGAACTTACCTTTTGATATAGATCCCAGGGGACATTTTGCACCATAGAGTACTGGGTTTTAATTTTGAGATCTGCATTCTGCACAATAAATGCTCTGAAAAATACATTATATCTTTGCTTTTGTTATTGTTGTTTTTTTTTTATCAATTTAGCTTTGCTAAGGGACTACAAAACCCATTCAGAAACACTTCTATTATAACTTTTACACTTAAATTTATACCGCGATATATACCGTTACCGTGAAGGGATTCGATTTATACCATGATATGAATTTTAGGTCATACCGCCCAGCCCTAAGTGTAGCATAGTGTCTGTGTAGCTGACTTGCAATAAATAATATAACTAGCAGTAGTTGGGTCCATGTCATTGGTCCGACAGCCCATTGGTCCAACATCCCATTAGTCCGACGGTCCGCGGTGCTGAACGGCTCCCGGCGGGCGTATTTCTGCCTTGACGGTGCACCACGACCGGCTCTGGGTCAGTTGGGAAAGGCTTGAGGCGAAGCAGGCTCACAACTTATGTGTTTGTCACTTTCTTTTTCATTTTAACCCACACCATGATCTTTTCCTAACCCTAACCAAGTGGTTTTTGTGCCTAAACCTAACCAGACCTTAACCACAGGGCATCATGATGATTTCGGAACGGACTTCGAAACAATGGGTTTAATATAGTCGGACCAATGGGCTGTCGGACCAATGGGCAGTTCCCCAGTAGTTAAGCATGACTGACCTGCAATAAATAGCGCACGTATGAAGCATATTTCTCATTTTTTGTTAAATGTGTCAGACTGTCTGATTGAAGTTTGTGGCTTTGGATCGCATGACACTGTGATATATGCATACAAACACAGTTGATGTGGCCTGAAAATATATTGAAGTTTGGCAGGTCTGTTTGTATTGTGATGATTCCACTGTCAACCAATGTCTCCATCCTTGTTTTTTCCAGATTTACATAGTCTACAACAAGAGGACGGGAAAGCCACGGGGCTATGCATTCATTGAGTATGAGCATGAGCGCGATATGCACTGTGAGTACCAATGTAGATTACTAAACCAAAATTCATTCTTTCTCTCTTCACATATTCATGAAGACTGATCTCTGTGACATGCAGGATGGTTCTTCAGTTGGTACCTTGTCCTTAATTTTATATAGATATTTTGGTGATGATACTGGGGTGGCAACATTCTCTCACACTTTAGGAGGATGACTATTACCTAATGAGAAAGTGGATGTGTATGCAATCAGAGGTATCAGAGTACTCTTAACGTGTTCTGCAATTTGCATGTTGAAATCCAAATGTGGTGGTTGTGTGATGTGTGTCTGTGTTTGATGCGTGTCATCAGTTGACATCAGTCAATAGTCTGCTTGAGGAGGGCAACCACTTGATTCAGTGGGGCATCCTGGGAAAAGTGTGAGGAACAAGAGGTAGAACTGTGTCTTTCACCTGTCAAACTGAACATTTTTCCTGTCAAAGGGCACATTGTCTTTTAACTGTTAGGCGTTGTAGCTCTGTGGAAGAGCAGCTCTCCTGGTTGGACTGTAATGGTAAGCACAAGGTCACCAAGCACTGAGTGGGGTTTTTTTTTGCTAGAAATGTGTCAGCAACTATGGAACTCCATGTTGTGTATGACTTAGCTATTGCGCTTGTTTGTTTTTATTGGTGGTCTTCAACCCTGGTCATGGTGAGATTAGTTCAATTCACCACACTAGCAAGAGATTTTAAGCCGGTGGTGATCCTACAGTGAATAATGGAGTACTGTCTCATTAGACAAGGGAATGGTGCCATCTAACACAGTGACACCATTCTAGGATATTAGTGTGATCGGCTCTTCAAGACCAGAGTTGCTGAATCACAGCAAACATGTAGTCCAAGCAGGGGGTGAACTGAGGGGGGATGTGGGGCTAAACAGTATATTAACTGTGTGTTGTTCTCATTGCCACTGCAGCCGCCAATCTGTGATGGCTATTGGCCAGAGCTGGCTGGCAGATGATGATGGTTATGATACATCTACACCCTACTACCACAGCTCAGTATATGGTTGGTATAATGGGTTTGTATGATGGGTAAGATTTCTTTCCACCCTCCATCTCCTACATAGGGAAGAGGAGCTACGTTCAATGGGTAAAGCATCTTTTTTGCAAGCCCTGAAGAGCTTTCAGTGCAATTACTACTGTTTGGATCTTAGGCTTTGACCATTGAACGCACCCCTGACCACTAGTGTATAGAGTGTTTCCCAATGATTCTGCCCTTATGTCAAAGCCTCCTCAGGTTGCTCAAGGCTCATGCTTAGCAATAGCAATGACATAGCTGGGCGTGGGCGTGCGCGCGCATAGAGGCAGAACAGAGATTAGAAGAGAATTGTAGATGGCGCGACCATGTAGAGACAGAAATGACATGCCGTCGTGTAAATAAGATAAATAACATAAGGCTATTTAGTTTGTTTAATAAAAGGACAAGGTATAGACCTGTTCTATAGGACAGGTAACCTTAAATGACTTCTGTTGTGATCTGGCGCTATTTAGAAAATATAATTAAATAAAATTAACCTGACCTTCAAGGGGGGGCGGGGCGCCCCTCTAATATAATGGTAGGGGAAACACTGCATCCTTTTGGACCATAGGATGAATTGATTACAGAGACATTTGGTCAGATACTTCATTGGTGACGCTAATCTTGGGTGTCCACCTCCAAACTGAGCTGAACTGTATAGCTCTTCTCTGCTGCCGGGGGGAGGATATTTGTGAAGCATCCATGTTTCCACAGACTTGGATGTTAACTGTAACTGCAACTTGACTGGTGTGCAGAATATAACCGAGGAACAGTATTTCTGGTCTTCAGTTATTTATTTATTTTTGTTCCATCATGCGGCCTGTACACTGCAGACTAGATGCACTACCCACTTTCACATGAGTAGGAGGAGTGCCATTTCCGCCATCAATGCTAGATTCAGTGTGAATGGTAACATTGGAAAGTGATCATATCGCCCCATCATGTTGTTAGGCTTGTGCTCTGCTATATATCAGTGCTAATCATAAAGGCACTGCAAGATGTACAGTACAGGCCAAAAGTTTGGACACACCTTCTCATTCAATGCGTTTTCTTTATTTTCATGACTATTTACATTGTAGATTCTCACTGAAGGCATCAAAACTATGAATGAACACATGTGGAGTTATGTACTTAACAAAAAAAGGGTGAAATAACTGAAAACATGTTTTATATTCTAGTTTCTTCAAAATAGCCACCCTTTGCTCTGATTACTGCTTTGCACACTCTTGGCATTCTCTCCATGAGCTTCAAGAGGTAGTCACCTGAAATGGTTTTCCAACAGTCTTGAAGGAGTTCCCAGAGGTGTTTAGCACTTGTTGGCCCCTTTGCCTTCACTCTGCGGTCCAGCTCACCCCAAACCATCTCGATTGGGTTCAGGTCCGGTGACTGTGGAGGCCAGGTCATCTGCCGCAGCACTCCATCACTCTCCTTCTTGGTCAAATAGCCCTTACACAGCCTGGAGGTGTGTTTGGGGTCATTGTCCTGTTGAAAAATAAATGATCGTCCAACTAAACGCAAACCGGATGGGATGGCATGTCGCTGCAGGATGCTGTGGTAGCCATGCTGGTTCAGTGTGCCTTCAATTTTGAATAAATCCCCAACAGTGTCACCAGCAAAACACCCCCACACCATCATACCTCCTCCTCCATGCTTCACAGTGGGAACCAGGCATGTGGAATCCATCCGTTCACCTTTTCTGCGTCTCACAAAGACACAGCGGTTGGAACCAAAGATCTCAAATTTGGACTCATCAGACCAAAGCACAGATTTCCACTGGTCTAATGTCCATTCCTTGTGTTTCTTGGCCCAAACAAATCTCTTCTGCTTGTTGCCTCTCCTTAGCAGTGGTTTCCTAGCAGCTATTTGACCATGAAGACCTGATTCGCGCAGTCTCCTCTTAACAGTTGTTCTAGAGATGGGTCTGCTGCTAGAACTCTGTGTGGCATTCATCTGGTCTCTGATCTGAGCTGCTGTTAACTTGCGATTTCTGAGGCTGGTGACTCGGATGAACTTATCCTCAGAAGCACAGGTGACTCTTGGTCTTCCTTTCCTTCGGTCCTCATGTGTGCCAGTTTCGTTGTAGCGCTTGATGGTTTTTGCGACTCCACTTAGGGACACATTTAAAGTTTTTGCAATTTTCCGGACTGACTGACCTTCATTTCTTAAAGTAATGATGGCCCCTCGTTTTTCTTTAGTTAGCTGATTGGTTCTTGCCATAATATGAATTTTAACAGTTGTCCAATAGGGCTGTCGGCTGTGTATTAACCTGACTTCTGCACAACACAACTGATGGTCCCAACCCCATTGATAAAGCAAGGAATTCCACTAATTAACCCTGATAAGGCACACCTGTGAAGTGGAAACCATTTCAGGTGACTACCTCTTGAAGCTCATGGAGAGAATGCCAAGAGTGTGCAAAGCAGTAATCAGAGCAAAGGGTGGCTATTTTGAAGAAACTAGAATATAAAACATGTTTTCAGTTATTTCACCTTTTTTTGTTAAGTACATAACTCCACGTGTTCATTCATAGTTTTGATGCCTTCAGTGAGAATCTACAATGTAAATAGTCATGAAAATAAAGAAAACGCATTGAATGAGAAGGTGTGTCCAAACTTTTGGCCTGTACTGTAAATGATGGAAGCTGGCAGTTAACTCAACTGCCATACTGTTGATACTGTAACACATTTTCCTCAAACTGCCAATTTTCTGAGTAAAACTTTGTAAGGCTGGCAGTAGGGCCTACTTATCTTTATACAGTTAACCATAACATTTACTGCTAAAAAGTTCAAATCTCACCTGAGAGGTTGATGCATAATACTGTCCAAACTAACAGGTCTGAGCTGGCTTTAATAAAAATGGCAGATGAGGGAAATTTTCTTTAATTCAGCTGAATGGGCTATTCATACATTATTTATTCACTACATAACTAAAGGTAGATAGTAGTTAGCCTTGCATATTAAGTCATAACAATAGTAAGTAAGGTCAAGGTTTTTTAAAGAGAGAATTCCTACAGTTTCAGTTTATGACATGTAAGTTAATAAGTTTAGACACTGGACTATTGATATTTCAAGCCACTTTATATCGAAGACGTATCAGCGAACATGACTTCATCGAATTCTAAGTGGGGGAAGAAAAAAAAAGATTTTTTTTCTCATGAGTTGTTTGGGGTTGTGGTAAGGCAACTTCTGTAAGAATGGTGGCCCTGATTTTTTTTTTTTTTAAATTTCTTTTTATTTTATTTTGTATTTACAGTTTTTTTTTTTTTTCTTCTCCCAGTTTGTGAGTTTTGGTAGGACTGGTGGGGGTTTGGTAAGGCCCTATCATTTGGATGGGATGTTGTCATCCTAAGTAAACACAGTGAATGAAGGGGTTCTGGTAAGGCCCCCGGTAGTAGTGTTGTGATGGTATGTGTGTTCTGGTGCTGGAGGATTTTGGTAAGACCCTAAGACTGGTGCAGAGACTGTCATAAGGCACATGAGTGAGGGAGTTTGGTAAGACCCTCAGAATGTTAATGTGAGGATTGGGTAAGGCCCTCAGACTCCATGCTATAACTGGTGGGTTTTGGTAAGGCCCTCTTCTTGGACCTAAGAGTTTTACCCTCAGGGATCATCACTTCATCAGTCCAGTGTAGCAGCCAGGATGAGCCACCTGGATCTCGCCAAGTCCACTTCCATCATTCAAGATGGATCAAAAGACTATTGTGTGGTGGGATAAAGTGTAGGATAAAGTCTGAATGTACATGAGGTAGGAAATAAGCTATGTCACATGCTGGAGACCCCTGGTTGATGAAAGCTCCTTCATTGTTGGCTGCTTCCATCATGTTGACCTCACAAAGCTGGTAAAAGGTTCCAGCAGATTGGAGCTGCTGTCACAAAACATTCTATGGCCAGAATATTATTTGTTTGCATATCCTATACTGTGAATAGTGCAAGATACATTTGATTTACCTGACCAGTATGATGCTATTATGGGCACAGTTGTGAATTTAAATAATAAAGGTCAAAATCAATCGTCTGGACTTCAGTCCATAGATTTCAGTCCTGCATAGATTTCAGTTATTCAGAGTGTGCTTTACTGCAATGATAGAATTTTGAGATTGTCAAAGAAGTTACAGTTCACCTGTAAGAAAAATTCTTAGTTGTCGCAGGTGTAACCACACTGTCAACTGTCTTATCACAGTGCGTAAAAAATATACAAATGCAAATCATAAATGTATAATGAAAAGGTGATTTATAACGGTATGCCACATGATCTGTAGTTCAAGGTGTTAAAATTTGTCAAACCTGTGTGAGAGACTTTATGGAAACATGACAGTCCCTCTAGGATTTCGTGAGCTGTTTTGGGGATTGTTAAAGCCTGATGTCTCATTTCATAGTAGCTTTTCTAAAAAAAAAAAAATACGATTCATGTTGACGTGTTCATAGATGTTATTGCCGCCATGCCAGCAATAGCCATGGACTGAGGCATTATGGTTTTGTGTTTTCTGTCCATCTCGTTCTTGGGAACGTGCAGCATGTGAAGAAACCCTCGAGGGAAATTTTTCAAATTTGGCACAAATGTCCACTTGGACTAAACAATAATCTGATTAGATTATGATTGTCAGAGGTCACTGTGACTTTACAAAAAAATTACACAAATGCCTAAAAGGTCAGCTTCACTGTGACAGCATGTTTTCTGGCCATCATGGCGAGGGGGCGATCAGCAACAGCTGATTGCTGACAATCAAAGCAGTGTGTAAGGGCCATCTCCGTGACCTGCTCTCTTTCTACTCCCTCTAGGTGTGAGTGTGTGTGAGTGAGTGATTTGGTTAGTGTGATTTAAATGTCATCATCCTCCCATGTGTGCGCATGTGAATGTGCAGCGCATTTTTGTGACCAAACGGACTGTAGGCTTAGCAAGCGCATCGACTGCGCATGCTCCTCACTCCAGTTCAGTCTAAAACGCTGCTTTTGACCCTGCCGCAGGTGCCTCACACATTAGTTTTAAATGTGATATTTGACTTGACCTTCACTCCAGGCCCAGCAGCATTGTTTAGTTTCACTTTCACACCTGGCCCTCCCATTTACTGCCTGGGGCTGAAGTGGACAGAGTATACTTTGAATAGAACCGCATCTGCATGACCAAGTGGATGTTAAATGCAGAAGGTCTGTCTAAGCCTTGACTCTGTCCTTGGCGAAGAGCTCTTACTCCCACAGCGGTAGTCTCATGATGAATCGAGAGGGAGAGCTGGGAAAAGAGGGGTTAAACAAATAGATGTGCTGCACGCAACTCTTCAATGAAATGAGATTTTACCCATTTTAAAAAGACAGATGTTTTGGTAAAGGTTCTGTATTTGGACAAATTGCAAGGTCGCGCAGAATTCACAGGGATTTGCAGAGTTTGCATTAATTGTTGTGATCACAACATCCCAGAGGGGCTGATTTGAGCAGCAGTTAAATCCACATGATTATCCTTAAGACAACCTGGACGACTTTACATTGCTCCAATACACTGCTATTTAATGTAGACAAAAAGTGAAGCTGAGTATTTAAATGATGCAGTTTAAAGTGTAACATACTTTATCAATCATTCATCGGGTGGAAGGAAGTCTGCTCCCATTATCCTTCGGCTTTTACCCAGAGAGCAGCCATCTCGGCCTCACCTGCTCCTGGTCAGTATAATAATGCACTGTTTGTTTCCTTGGCCACATTGATGCAGCTGTACTCCCATCTCACCCCTGTCTTCCCTCTCCCCATTCGTCTTCTCCAGCTGCCTACAAGCATGCAGATGGGAAGAAGATTGATGGCAGAAGAGTGCTGGTGGACGTGGAACGAGGACGCACTGTGAAAGGATGGCACCCTCGTAGGCTAGGTAAGCTTCCTTTTTTTTATGTTGAGTTTCAGCGCTCTGTAAAAAGCAAGTCTTCACCCAAGACTAACAGTCCCTCAACCAAGAAAATATATTAAACGCAACCAGAACTAAGAGACAGTGCTGAACGCAGCCTGAACCATGAGCCTGTGGTACCTGCTTTGTCTTTTGTGTTGAGATTCAGTGTTTCCCCCTTGGTTGATTGCTTTGTAGTGCTGGATAGGCTCATGAGGGGTGTAAATCACTAGTTTCTAATCACTGTTGTTATTGATTATATTGACTCCAGTAATACATGGCTTAACAAGAACATTTTTCACAATTTTATTTACTTTTGCACCTAACCTCACCAATATCAGTCCTATAGAGTCAGGAGTGTTTTCTCTCTGACAGCTAAAATGGATCAAAGCCTTTTTGTGATCAGAGCTGCTAATGCTCTGGCTAAGACTGCCTTCTGTCCTGTCGGCAGCAGAGCTGCTTGGATCTTCACCACTGTCACAAATTCATGTTGGCCGGTGCATTTAAAAAAAAAAAAAAAAAAAAAGATACATTAGCTTGGTTTTCAGACATTTGGGGCAGTCAACATTGTTGCTCGTAATGTAGCAAGTTGTTGACTTGAGTAATATTCACTCACCTGTCTCTTCTCCTGTACTCTACTACTAGGCATGTTTGTGGATGGGTGAAGCCCCGCCCTTGTTGAAATGGGGAGGAGCCCATAAATTACACAAAATGCAGTAAAGACTCTCACACTGAACTAAACTGAAACAAGAGCACATAAATTAGGTTTCAGGACAGTGCCACACAGAGGTCCCACAAAGGCAAATCACTGATTTCTGAATAAATGAATATTACGCATTAATTTGGACATTTAAAAAAAAAAGGTTTTTTTGGCCTGGCGGGACGCCTGTTGGCCGGTGGCCAGTCACTGTGTCTGTTCATGTGCCAGCTGAATTGTTGTCACCTAAAAAGCGCCAGCAGATGGCAGGAGCTACATTTGAAGTACCATACATAAACATAAAAGTCACTGATTTCGTAGTTCACTGAGTCACTGAGTTCCTACAAATGTTTCACAATAAAAGCCTTTGGAGGGATTCTCTCAGCTGAGGTTATAAGGGGCTTTTAATTTGAAACAAGTTTAGGAAGTATTGAGTTTGAAATGATGGCACGATGTGTTAACTTTATAAAGACAACAGGAGCGGCTAAAAAGTAAAAATAAAAAGATACAGAGCAAATAATCAATAACGGCCTGTTTATAATGTAGTCTGTTTCAAATGAAGCTGGTAGCCTCTGCAGTTGTGGTGAGTAAAAGCCCCACCACTATTTTTTAATTTTCTTACTTTAAGTCTGGTGAAAATTCTTGTATTTTTTAATATCGCAATATATATTGCAAAAAAAAAAAATTGCAATGTCAGTTTATTTCAATATTGTGCAGCCCTACATTCTACTGTAGCCTTTAAAATGTCTTTATTTTTACCAAATTGTGTGGCTGCACTTTAATCTGTGTCTTGATCTGTGTCAAACACTTGATGATAATAAAAAAAAGTTTTATGGCATTCATTCTACTATATACTACGTATTTATTTCTTAATATTTTACATAATTTTAGGAGTTGAGACATAAAACAATTCATATCCCATCAGTTTTTAGTTTACACGCTGGTATCAGATTGGTACTCGGTATCGGCAGATACCTAAGGTTCAGGGATTGGAATCAGTATGGGGAAGGAAAAAGTGGTATCGGTACATCTCTATTCATATCAAACTATCATAGAGCACTCATAACAAAAATCTAATGTAAGAATGGGCATGTAATGATGTAAAGTGATGTGTGACATTATGTTTACCATCATGTACATGCTTTCATTTTCTCCCTGCGTTCTGTCTCTCCCTTCATGTATACCACCTTGCTAAAATTATGTTTAAATAGAGCTGAATTGGATGATGTTACGGAAAAACACAGAGCAATTAGGAAAAAAAATATTATGGAAAGTTTTTGATACTTTGTCTGTGAAAATGTGTGGGCACCCTGTAAATGTTGAACAGGTTTGATGTCCATATTAAGTTCTCTTGTACTCATGGCCATCCCTGGTTCATACCCACTGTCTATGTTTCTGATCTGGGTTAATTTATATTAACTGTAGCTATGCAACCACACCAAAGAAGCCTTATGTGTTTTTTGACATAGTGATGTTTGCAGTGCTCTTTCTGAACACAGCCTGATTGCTTTAGTAACAAGTGTAGTCTGGAAGTCCAAACTAAACGTAATTTGACTTGATCTTATGTTTCGCTTGTTGTTCATAACTAGGTGGTGGATTGGGTGGCACTAGGAGAGGTGGAGCTGACGTAAACATTAAGCACTCTGGCCGAGATGATGCATCACGATATGATGATCGTCCCTTGGGAGGGTGAGTACTTTCAGAGATGCATTGTTTGGTATGTTATTGAGTACTGCTGAGTATAACAGTCCTCACTTTGTTTTGACTGCTCATAGTGATCGGGACCGTGGAGAGCGGAGGGAGCGCAGCCGGGAGCGCGACCGGGACAAGGACAGAGACCGCAGAAGGTCCCGATCCCGCGAACGGCGTCGACGTACCCGTTCCCGGGAGCGAGAGAGGGAGAGAGACAGACAGATTGGAGGGGAGGACAGCAGCAGTAGTAGCCGCCGTCGAGAGCGGGAGAGGGACCGTGGGGGAGCAGCAGGAGACAGCAGAAGTAGGGAGAGGAGTCGAGAACGGAAGAGAAGGAGCAGGAGCCGGGATCGCAAGAGAGACAGGGAGAGAGGCAAGGGGCTGGATGGGGAGGAGGTCAGCCAGGGAGACGCCGCCCCCGAGGGTGGGGAGCGGATGCTGGAGGAACATGAAGGAGAAGTAGGTGAGGGCATGGAGGAGCGTAGAGACAGGGACAGAGAAAGGGACAGGGACCGCAGGCGTAGTCACAGGGACAGAGATAGACGCAGGGGAGACCGGGACAGAGACAGGGAGCACAAGAGGGAGCGGGGGGAGAGAGACAGGGGGGACCGTAGAGAAGAGCGCCACAGCTCCCTACGAGATGACATGGGTCCCCAAGATGACATGGGCAATGAGGATGAAGGAGGAGCGCCGCCACACATGGAGGAGTATAGTCAGGATGGGATGATGATGGACCAGCAGTCAGTGCCATCGGCCGATGGCTATGGCTCCAGTGAAAATGGCTACAAGGTGGAGGCACCAGGAGACGAATACTGAGATGGCCCCTCTCCCAACAGACGCCCACTCAAATAAGTTGTATCATAATATATTTTAACTTTCTGCCAAGGCACAGGAAACCTTAATGATGTCGGGGCCTCAGTACCAGACATCTAGCTAGCTTTCCTCATGTCTGTCAAAAATCTGTTGGAATACTCCACTTAATAATGTCGCACGCATGGTTGATGCATATAAATGATTTGATCTCACTAAAGTTGCATCTTTCCTGCATTGCCCAACTAATCTGTGCCAGTAAATTTTAACAGATTATTTAGTGATTAAAGCTAGGTATGTATTTTTTTTCTTTTCACTTGCTTTGGATGAACTGTAAAAACACAAACTTCATTCTTTTTCAGATGGATAGAGTGTGTTGTCTTTTGTTTCCAGGTTCATAAAGTTAGATTGTGCACTCATTTGGGATCAAGCGACAAATTTCTCCACAATTTATTTGAAGTTGAAGGAAATGTAGTATTGCGTGAAAATTGAGGGCTGTTCTGTTTATTCATTCTGGAATCTTTTTTTTTTTAAATTGTCTGCTGGTTGTATGTTAGATTGGCTAGTTCATTTGAATAAAGATGTGACTTAAAGCCAGAGCTCCTCTATATGTAGATGCCCTTGACTACATATCATGTGACTGTTTTTCTAACCTTCAAGGCAACCATTCCAGTCTTCACCACACAGTATCAAAAAACAGATATAGACATACACCGATCAGCCATCACTTGAATAACTGATCATTTTGTTACAGTGCAGTGCCCTGTTAGAAAATATTGGGTCCTGGCATTTATGTGGATGCCACCTGACATCCTCCACCCACCTAAACGCAGTTTGGGCCAAGTATGCCCCCTCGTGGCAATGGTAGTCCAGATTTTATTTGTACCTCAAGCAAATGTTCCAGATCCCATTCATGGGACGGGCCGGTACTTCTGATCCACAGTGGGGGCTCCTTGGATCAGACTTGGTTCTGACCAATCAAGGCCTGGACACAGGACCTCTGGCCATGTCCTGTGGTGTTGGCCCCGGAGCATTGTTGGCAGATCGTGGGAGTCTTGTGGGTTGCATCGTGAGGTACCAGCACGTTCCAAGAATGCTCCAATGGATTGGGATTTTGGTAAACTGAAGGCCAGGTCAACTACTTGAGCTCTTTATCATGTTCCACGGGTCATTCCTGAACAGTTTATATGGTGTAGTGTGACACAGTGTCGTGCTGGGGGGCCACTGCCATTGCGCAGGGCCAGGACGCATCAAGAGACATTCACCTCTCCCAGCTCTCCTCCTTTCAGAGGTGAGTTGGGAGAGGGAAAACAGTTGGATATGACCAGGCCGAGGTCACCAAAACATCGCTGAGGTTCTAAATGGCAGGACTGTCCTGGTACATTGGATGGGTACCCCAGCACCTGAAATGCCAGCTAGTGTGTGGACAGTGGTTTTAATGTTGCTGTTGGGCACTGATAATCATTAGGGTTATGTAATTTTTACATTTAATTTTGTCATTGAAGTTGTTGCATGGTAATTCTGTTGTAATTGGAAATTGATTTTTACCCTGCATTAGTAATGCGGCTTTTATGTATTGTCTTCACTGTGATGGAGAATTTCATATATCAAGTCCCCATAATAACGAGGGAAAAAAATAGTATAATGTAAAAAATTATTCACTGCTGATTATTGTTGCACAAAAAAATTATTGTGCCAAATCCAAAATACATACTGGATATGGAATATTATTTGTCTGAACAGATTGACAGTCTGTGTTTGTGTAAACACCTTACAAAAGAAATATCAAAATTATTTTGCAAATATGACAGCTGCAAAAACAAATTCCACCAATAAATAATACATTTAATATATTTACAAATAAATGAAGAGCATTTTTATTTCTTTTGATTTGTGGAAGAAGTTGTTTATTCGCAAAATAATTCATGAGTTTACAAACATTTTTTGTATTAGTGGAAGTTATTTTATATTTACATTATACATTTACACTGACTGTTAGTCTCCACACATAATACTGACACTAGTCTATCTCCATATAAAATACCCTTGTAGTTAATTAGCATCTGTGCTTTCAATGTGCGCAGTAGGAGTACTTAAAACATACGTAGAAGATGCTGAGAGGGCTGATGATACAGTCACGCACTGAGCTGTGGTGAGGCTGCTGCGTCAGGTTATACTGGCTGGTCCCCAGTCCAGCATCCCAGTTCTCACTGACACATCTGCTGCTCTCCTACAGTCCGCTCAACATGTCTTCATAAAAGATGGTCCACGCATCGCTGTAAACCAGATTTTCTGCTCTTGGTCGCACTGTGACATAGGTTGACAGCCTGGACTCGGGGGAGCTGAAAATGATGTCCTCTTACTACCACCCTGTCAAGGAAGCAGACATGGCGGCCATGACCGAGCCGCTCTGCCTGGAAAGAGGTAAACGGAGTCTAATAACCAGACCGCTCGACACAGCCCATTAGTTTATGTAGCCTACATGTAGTTTACACATCTGTGTTTTACTTAATGGGTGGCATTGATGAAGTGTTTGTTCTTTGTCTCAAATTACCTAATAACGGCGTTCTAATGTAAAATATTTAATATTTGTAAAACGGAGTTGACAATTTATGTTTAGGTTATTCTTATGCAGATGTTTGAGGGGATGTGGCGCGACCCGCAGTTCAGGCACTGGCACGTTTCTTACTATAGTAAACGTCATTAACTGTAACAAGCTTGGTATAGTCCAGTTTACTACCCGTAGGCCCACATCGACTGACGAACGAATAAGTATCAGACGTGCCTTCGACAGTATGCTTGAACTATGCATAATTCTGCTGGGTGTGAAATGTGGAATTGCTGTCAGTGTCGCACCGTGAAGCGCGAGCGTATGTGGTGAGAGGAGCCGGGCGCACAGTGCGATAAGGTGCGGTCAAGCCAGGGCGAAAAAACTCTCATTCCTCATTGTTCATTTGAATGAAGGAGAAGCAAACTGCATTCCCATTGTTCTGGAAAGCGTCCAACAGTTAACCCTTTAATGTCAACACTAAGAAAAAAAAGCAATGAAAACATTTTTTCCTTGCACTTTCCTCCCTGGGCAATAATAACTAAAACATTTTTTTTTCATTTTTAACAGGCTATAGGTTTTTCTAATATCAACCTCTGCCCAAAGGGTTGAGAAGTCATTTCAAGTTATTTACAAAACAGAAAGAAAAATCCAAATTGCAATCCACACACTGTGATAATGCAAGTAATATTTAACATATATCATTGTGTTACCATGGAATTGGTATTACCAGCATTAGAATTATTTCCACATATTTAATGTAGATATTTACCATCACTTTACTCTGAAAACATCTCAGAAAGGGTGAAAATCACACTGATATTATTTTCATCAAATACAGAATGCAATAACATTAAATATATAGTATTTATTTAATTTTCTTTCTTTTATTCTTTTTTCTAATTTTATATACTTTATTAATCCCCTAGGGAACATTCAATTTTTTCACTCCATTGTCATTAACACACAGGTCTGAAACACACACACATGCACAGACAGCACCTATACATGCACTACGTGCAGAGATGTCAGAGTGAGGGGGCTGCCATGGACAGGCATCCCAAGCAGTTTGGGGGTTTGGTGCCTTGCTCAAGGACACCTCGGCAGTGCTCAGGAGGTGAACTGGCACCTCTCCAGCCGCCAGTTCATGCTCCATATTTGGTCCGGACGGGGACTTGAACAGGCGACCCTCCAGTTCCCAACCCAAGTCATCCTTTTTTTATTTAATAAAGATTGTAAATTTATTATCCTAGCATAACCAACATAATCCATAGACTGTTGAGCATGGCTTTAAACAGTAAAGTTTTAAATACACAGGATGTGATGTTAAGATCCAGAGTGTTGGGGACTCTGCATGGCAGAGGCGTCCTTCTCCCTGAGCCGAGCTTGCGCCTGACCACATACCAAGTTCAGGAGTAGGTGTTACAATCCTTGCATATACCTCAAGAAACTGTTGTGAGACAGATGGTGACATTTTGGGGTTGGGTGGTTGAAGGAGCTAACAATTTCACCGGGGTTGTCAGGTGGGCACCGTCCTTTGGTGTTTCGTTGATGACACCTCCAGAGGGCTCAGCAGCATCATTTGGTGTCCCAGGTGTGCCCCCTCCACTTTAGCCCCTTCCACCTCTCATTCCCCCAATGACAGCATGCTGTTATTTCGGAGCCCAGGTGCTGTCTCCCCTCCTGATCCAGAGCCACTGACTGGCCCTTTCAGCAGCTCCGGACAGGGCTTTGATGGCTTGACATTGTGCCTGGCCTCGGATTCCCATGTCCTTGAGGAGCCTTGTTGTTGACTGGCCGACGAAACCTCTGCAACCAACTTCAACTGGGAGAACTGTGGCTTTCCAACCCCGTTGTTCTGCATCAGCTGCCAGCTCAGCGTACTTAAGCCTCTTGCGCTCATAGGCCTTGCCCACAGCATCCTCCTAGGGCACTGTGAGCTCAATGATGTACACGCTTCGTATTGAAGGGGACCAGAGCACAAGGTCAGGTCTGAGGTTGGTCGTGGCATTTTCCGTTGGGAAGCAGAGTCTCTGCTCAAGATCAGCGAGGAGCCTCCAGTCTCTTGCTGCACCCAGCTGCCCGGCCTCTGATGTTGGTGTGCGGGTCCTGGGTAGCTTCTCACCTTCGCGGACAAACTGTCTTGAGGAAGTAGGGTGGGAGGACCGCGGAGGAAGGGCATTGACAACCCTCCGTCTGCTCTCCAGCGTAGCTGCCAGACACTTAAGTACCTGATTGTGCCGCCGGGTCTATTTGCCTTGTGTCAGGCTTGTCTTGCAGCCAACCAAGATGTGCTTCAGGTTAGCTGGAGATGGACAGAGGGGGCATGTAGGGTCTCCTCCATACCATTGGCTAAGATTCTGAGGAGATGGTAGGACATCGTATATGCCACGTATGATGAAGCTTGATCGAAATGCTTCCATGTCCCTAACTCCTTCCAAGAGATCTTTCGCTTTTTGCTATATACATATATATACATATATATATATATATATATCAATTTTCCATCAATTTTATTTATAAAGCCCAATATGACAAATCACAATTTGCCTCACAGGGCTTTACAGCATACAACATCCCTCTGTCCTTAGGACCCTCACAGTGGATAAGGAAAAACTCCCCCCAAAAAAAACTTTAACGGGGGAAAAAAATGGTAGAAACCTCAGGAGGAGCAACTGAGGAGGGATCCCTCTTCCAGGACATGCAATAGATGTCGTACAGAACAGATCAGCATAATAAATTAACAGTAATCTGTATGACACAATGAGACAGAAAGAGAGACAGAGATAGATGCAGGACAGATGGTAATGACAGTAGTTTACAACAACATTAATGAAAGTAATANATAGATTCATTACACACAGGCCGATATAATTCAGGTGTTCATTTCTTATAATTTTGATGATTATAACTGATAGCTAATGAAAACCCAAAATTCAGTTTCTCAGAAAATTAGAATTACTTAAGACTAACAGAAATATTGGACTACTGAAAAGTATGAACATGTACAGCACTCAATACATGGCTGGGGCTCCTTTTGCATGAATTACTGCAATAATGTGGCGTGGCATGGAGGCGATCAGTCTGTGGCACTGCTGAGGTGTTATGTGTGTGTGCAACCTAAATAAATTAGAATATCATCAAAAAGTTGATTTATTTCAGTAATTCGATTCAAAAAGTGAAACTCATATATTATATAGATTCATTACACACAGGCCGATATAATTCAGGTGTTCATTTCTTATAATTTTGATGATTATAACTGATAGCTAATGAAAACCCAAAATTCAGTTTCTCAGAAAATTAGAATTACTTAAGACTAACAGAAATATTGGACTACTGAAAAGTATGAACATGTACAGCACTCAATACATGGCTGGGGCTCCTTTTGCATGAATTACTGCAATAATGTGGCGTGGCATGGAGGCGATCAGTCTGTGGCACTGCTGAGGTGTTATGTGTGTGTGCAACCTAAATAAATTAGAATATCATCAAAAAGTTGATTTATTTCAGTAATTCGATTCAAAAAGTGAAACTCATATATTATATAGATTCATTACACACAGGCCGATATAATTCAGGTGTTCATTTCTTATAATTTTGATGATTATAACTGATAGCTAATGAAAACCCAAAATTCAGTTTCTCAGAAAATTAGAATTACTTAAGACTAACAGAAATATTGGACTACTGAAAAGTATGAACATGTACAGCACTCAATACATGGCTGGGGCTCCTTTTGCATGAATTACTGCAATAATGTGGCGTGGCATGGAGGCGATCAGTCTGTGGCACTGCTGAGGTGTTATGTGTGTGTGCAACCTAAATAAATTAGAATATCATCAAAAAGTTGATTTATTTCAGTAATTCGATTCAAAAAGTGAAACTCATATATTATATAGATTCATTACACACAGGCCGATATAATTCAGGTGTTCATTTCTTATAATTTTGATGATTATAACTGATAGCTAATGAAAACCCAAAATTCAGTTTCTCAGAAAATTAGAATTACTTAAGACTAACAGAAATATTGGACTACTGAAAAGTATGAACATGTACAGCACTCAATACATGGCTGGGGCTCCTTTTGCATGAATTACTGCAATAATGTGGCGTGGCATGGAGGCGATCAGTCTGTGGCACTGCTGAGGTGTTATGGAAGCCCAGGTTGCTCTGATAGCGGCCTTCAGCTCTTCTGCATTGTTGGGTCTGGTGTCTTGCACCTTCCTCTTCCCAATACTCCATAGATTCTCTATGAGGTTTAGGTCAGGTGAGTTTGCTGGCCAATCAAGCACAGGGATACCATGGTCCTTAAACCAGGTATTGGTACCTTTGGCAGTGTGGGCAGGTGCCAAGTCCTGCTGGAAAATGAAATCCACATCTCCATAAAGCTGGTCAGCAGAGGGAAGCATGAAGGGCTCTCAAACATCCTGGGAGACGGCTGTGCTGGCCTTGGACCTGAGAAAACACAGTGGACCAACACCAGCAGATGAAATGGCTCCCAAACCACCACTGACTGTGGAAATTTTACACTGGACCTCTGGCAACACGGATTCTGTACCTCTCCTCTCTTCCTCCAGACTCTGGGACCCTGATTTCCAAATGAAATGCAGAATTTACTCTCATCTGAGAAGAGGACTTTGGACCACTGAGCAACAGTCCAGTCGTTTTTGTCCTTAGCCCAGGTAAGAAGCCTTTGATGTCGTCACTGGTTCAAGAGTGGCTTGACACAAGGAATGCAACAGTTGAAGCCCATGTCCTGGATACGTCTGTGTGTGGTCCTTTTGAAGCGCTGACTCCAGCTGCAGCCCACTCCTTGTAAATCTCCCCCAAATTCTTGAATGGGCTTCATTTCACAATCTTTTCAAGGCTGCGCGTTGTCCCTGTTGCTTGTGCACCTTTTTCTACCACATTTTTTCCTTCCATTCAACTTTCCATTAATGTGCTTGGACACAGCACTCTGTGAACAGCCAGCCTCTTTAGTAATGACCTTTTGTGTCTTACTCTCCTTGTGCAGGGTGTCAGTGATCATCTTCTGCTGTCAAGTCAGCAGTCTTCCCCATGATTGTATAGCCTACTGAACTAGACTGAGAGACCATTTAAAGGCTCAAATCAAATCAAGTTTATTTATATAGCACATTTAAAAACAATCACAGCTGTCCAAAGTGCTGTATAAAAGAATGACACACAAATATATAGCAATATAACATGTACACAAATATAAAACAGAATAAAACTGATAAGAACAATTACAAACATGAAAAGATAAGATGAAATGCTAAAATATCAAGATCACTACAGACAACCAAAGGCCATTGAAAACATGTACGTTTAAAGATTTGTCTTAAAAGTGTCAATGGAGGGGCAGCATGTGATTAAGAGGGGAAGACCATTCCAGAGCTTTGGAGCAGCGACTGCAAAAGCACGATCTCCCTTACCCACCAGCCTCGATTGTGAACAGTTAAAAGACAATGTCTGGAGGATCTAAGAGGTCGGGAGTTGGAGTAGGGGCTCAGGAAACCTTTGCAGGTGTTTTGAGTTAATTAGTTGATTAGAGTGTGACACCATTAGTCTTCAATAATGAACTTTTTCACAATATTTTAATTGTCTGAGATACTGAATTTTGGGTTTTTCATTGGCTGTTAGTTATAATCATCAAAATTAATAGAAATAAACTGTTGCAGCCATTACATGGTATGAGTTATTTGTTGATTTGTTATGTTTTTTTGAGCACTGGGTGGTGTATGTCTGCAAAAAGGTATGTAGATGGGCTCACCTTGACAGGTGGCAGTGATTGGGGATGGAGTGAGCACAAAGTTTTTGACCGTGTAGCTATGCACACGCTGTTGTTTGTTGTTTTCTTGTATAATAAACAGTCCAGCAAATAAAATCTTTCTGCAGTGAGTACACGTGTCCAAACTAGTTTCTACCCAGTGTAGCAATCACTCCGTGGCTTTTAGGAGCAATAGTCACCACATAAACACTTGAAATATATCAGTCTGTGTGTAATGAATCTATATAATCTATATAATAATCTATAATATATGTTTCACTTTTTGAATTGAATTACTAAAATACATCAACTTTTGCAAAGCGAGACGGTCATTGGATAAATGCGACAAAATCATCACTTCCAGGGAGGCTCAACTTCCCTGGGACCTAATGGAGCGGTGGGCGGGAGAGGACGCTTGGTGTATGCATGATGATTGGAGGAATTGTCTAAAAGGCTGAACCCCTTTGTAATTGACAGCGCTTTTGAAACACACACACACACACCGGCATCGTTGCATTTCGAGCTCAGTCCCATGCAGATATATCTGTGAGGTTTGTTTTGCTGTGGTTCTATGGCATGAGTGGGGTTGAAAAACGGTTTCAAATAAATGCTCCTTTTATAAGTTACTGCCTCGCTACAATATGACAAATATAGGGAGACCATATTTTGATTTCCAAAAAGAGGACACTCGGCCGGCCACGACATAGCCTACTTAAATGATACTCGCAGTTTACTCAAAGATGCCTTATAATTTTAATATATTTAAAATTTATATGTATGGATAGAAAATTCAGTTATATTACAAAATAATATCTCTCAAAGACAGAAATTCAGATAGGCCCCAATAGGGGACACACACACTAGAGTGTGGCGATCCGAGCCCGACGGTACCCGACGGGTCGGGCCGGGTTTGGTCAGAAATGTAGCTATAAATTGTATTCGGGCTCGGGTCGGATTCGGTCAGCTTTCAGTGAAAATGTAGTGTAAAAATAAATAAAATCCTATTGTCTGTCCTGTTTATTGCTTGGGCACTGTTATTTACGTGACAACACCTGAACATAACACACACAGACACACATTGGCTGTTTGTTTCTACCTCTCCCCTCTCTGGAAGTCTCGGACCTCCAGGCGCCCGCCTCCGCCTTGATTAAACGCTGAAAATAAAATAAAAGAGGGAGACAGGTTTTTTCTATATTATCTTATTTTGTTTTATTTCTCCATCTCCTCCTGCTAGAAGCGTCGGACCTCCCGCCTCCCGCTCCCGTCTCAAACACGGAGGTCTCCCTCTCCGCAGCTGAGCACCCACGGCGCACGCCCGGCCTGTTAAATAGCCTGTAACCACTGTGTGACACAAACTCAGTGCTTTGGTCATTAAATAATGTCGGGCTCGGTTCAGGTTCGGACAGAAATATGCTGCCCGTGCCGCACTCTAACACACACACACAAACACACGGAAAACCGGACATTATCATCAGTTTATAAAAAACCCCCGGACGCCCCGGACGGGATGTGAAAAGTGGACATGTCCGGGCAAAAGAGGACGTTTGGTCAGCCTAAAATATTATGATGTAAAGTTAGAGTGAGCTTCCCCTGTTTGAAAGACCAGCAACCGCCACTATATATATCACGCATCTCTTAAATTGTGTTTTTTTTTTGTTTTGTTTTGTTTGTTCCCTTTGTCATGACCTGGCTCTAAAGCCAAGACAAAAAGGCAAGGGAACGCAGGATAAATGCCAATAATAATTAATTTATTCAAACAAAAGTTAAATCATTTAACATAAGTTGAAGCAATGGAGTGTGGATGTCAGTGAAATCAGTAGTGAAGGTGTGTGTATGCATGGGTGTATAGTGTGTATAATGTATAGTGTGTTGAGAGTGTTGGATGCCTGAAAAGAAAACCAAAGAATCAGCAACAAAGAATGATGGCAAGACAGAGACTGCCAGCCAGGCCAGGCAGCAATAGCCTATAGAATCTGGAAGTACCGGGCCCATGATGACCCCGCCCACGTACCTGCAACTGACAGAGAGGGAAAAAGATAAACAGAAGCAAAACAATATAAGACAGGCCAGGGGCCCTCACACCTTTTTAATTTTTTTTTAATTTTACAAAGTCAGTTTTCAATTTCCCTTTCTTGGGGTGCAGTGTACATTGGTGATCCAATACTATATGTAGTGACTCATTCAGCTCTAACTGCGTTTCAAGACAAATAACAGTCCAGCAGCAGACTAAATCATTTTGCACCTTCAAGGGGTGAGAGGAGCCTCAGAGAGCTTCCACAATGTTTTTTTTTTTTTTAACAAAGTTCAGTTATTCAACCGACTTATTAAGCCAATTTTAACTTAATTATGGCACTAGTTTCTCAGAAATAAAAAAAATACTATACATACACATATTCATACTATTTAAAGACGGCAACATCTAGTGGATTTTTTTTTTTTTTTTTTAATTTTGCTTAACATGTCTTAACTGAATGGTAGAGATAGCTCAGTCAGGTTGGGTTAAGTTCAACACATTTTTTCATTAAGCTAAGGTGACTCAAACTGTGCTCTACCAAACAGTTGAGCAGAATGTTAAAGGACTCTTGCATCGCCTACAGCTGCCAGGAGTTGATTCAATGTGTGGCCAAGTTACAACTTCACACTGAATGAACACCTGAGGGGTGTTTCATGTAGGTGGCCCAAAAAAACATGGCTTACTGTGAAAAGCTGTTCATGAATGAGCATAACAAACTTCTTCTACAGTTACAGGCTCTCATGATTAGGTAGGAGCCACCTCAAAAACCTTTTCATTGTAGTTTTTATTGTGCTTTAGTGGTTATCACTAGATCAAGCAATTGATCAAATTACTTTAAAGTAATTGTCTAAAATACTAATAGTAATTGCCATGCAGTGAAACTGGGGCCTGTGGAGCCCCTAAGGATCTGGGGCATTCAGGGACAGTTGTGTGCTTTTCCCTGTTGGTAATCCAGCCTTCGTGTGTGTTTTGTGTGTGTTAGATGTGTGTAGGGTGATCGAGCTGCTGGACCGGCTGCAGCGGAGCGGGGAGCTGCCTCCTCCCAAACTGCAGGCCCTGCAGAGAGTCCTACAGAGCAAATTCTGTGCTGCCATCAGAGAGGTACACATGTACAGCAGAGTGTGAGGGGAAGGCTGGGGCCAAAATTATTGGTAGTGCTCAAGCCGGTAACACTTTACAATAAGGTACACAAAATTAGAGTAGTTACTGAGGAACTAATGAGTAGTTACTGAGGAACTAAGGTACACAAAATTAGTAGTTACGGAGGAACTAATGAGGAACAAATGAGTAGTTACTGAGGAACTAAGGTACACAAAATCAGAGTAGATACTGAGGAACTAATGAGGAACGAATGAGTAGTTACTGAGGAACTAATGAGGAACTAATGAGTAGTTACTGAGGAACTAAGGTACACAAAATTAGTAGTTACTGAGGAACTAATGAGGAACTAATGAGCAACGAATGAGGAACTAATGAGGAACTAATGAGTAGTTACTGAGGAACTAAGGTACACAAAATCAGAGTAGTTACTGAGGAACTAATGAGGAACGAATGAGGAACTAATGAGTAGTTACTGAGGAACTAATGAAGAACTAATGAGGAACTAATGAGTAGTTACTGAGGAACTAAGGTACACAAAATTAGTGTAGTTACTGAGGAACTGAGGTACACAAAAATAGAGTAGTTACTGAGGAACTAATGATGAGCTAATGAGGAACGAATGAGTTGTTACTGAGGAACTAATGAATAACTAATGAGGAACTAATGAGTAGTTACTGAGGAACTAAGGTACACAAAATTAGTGTAGTTACTGAGGAACTAATGAGGAACTAATGATGAACTAACTATTAGTTTATGGTCAGTTCTTCAGTAACCCCTGATCAAATTTCAGAATTGGTCATCACTGCAAGTGGTCATATATGGGAAAAGATGGTAACCTCTGTCTCTGAATGATCTCTGTGAATCCTGGTCGATGACCTTTGACCTCTTACCAGTGGATGCTGTGAAGTGTCTCTGTTTTTTTTTTTTTTTGTTAACTTTTTTATTGAGTTTTCAAACATAACACAATACAAAAACAAGGCTTATGGTACACTGCATCAACCAACCCCCTCACCCCTTCAGGGTTCTGGCATAGACATTACAATCCATGATATCAAAGAAAAGACATGTCAGACATAAAGTAAAATAAAAGTGAAGATGGTTTATAAGCATGGAAGTAAGAAGTTCAGTTTACAATGAGAAGGAAAGGAGTCTTCTGCCTCCACAGAAGGTTCTTGGTCACTCCTGAGATCTAAACAGAGACTTTATCAGTCATTATGTGAGTCCAAAAAAGATCCCAAGAGGTAGTCCCATCCTCCATGTTGCCTTTTATCCTGTTAAGCATAGACTCATAGGACGCAGTTTCAACCATTGTGTTAACCCAGTCTTTCAAGTCCGGACATTTAGCTGTTTTCCAGTGTCTCAGAATAATTCTGGAAGCTGTGATCAATCCGACCATAATAACAGAAAAAGTACCTTTTGTTGTGTTTGGGATTTGAGCTCTGTCCCCTAACAGACATAGAGCAGGAGTCAGGGGTTGTTGATCCAAACCAGCTGCTCAGGACCTCCACAACTTTAACCCAAAATGGTGTCACTAACGTACAGTCCCGTAGGAAAGTTCCTACTTCTGTTTTACACTTCCAACATAAATTGCCTTTCATCAGCTTCATTCTATGAAGTCTTATTGGAGTGTGGTAATATCTATGTATTATCTTGTACTGTGTGAACTTCCCCCTTGCTTCTTTTACATATTTTCCACAATCTGGCAGAATATCCAGCCATTTACCTTGTTCAAAATCTGTTCTCAAATCTCTCTGCCAAAACAGTTTCACATTGGTTAGTTCACCACTTATAAAACAGTCTGTTAACCTATAGAATTGTTAAGCAGTGTGGCATTCACATGACATGCTCATATAGTTCAAGATGTGATTTTCTGAAGTCCCATAAAATCTAGCTTACACAATTTCTCATTTGTAAATATTTCCAAAAATTTTGTTTGCCCTTAAGATTGAATTGACATACTAATTCCCCATAAGACATAAATTTATCATCTTTATACAATCTCCTATAGTATGTATGCCACTTAAATGCCATTGCTTCCAATATACAGGTGCTTTTCCAATACAGATAACAGGATTGTGCCATAGTGAAGAATATTTCTGTACATAGTGTGATAACTTATACATTTGGTGTATCTTGGTCCAAACTTCTTTATTTATTTTTTATTTATTTATTTTATTTTATTTTTTTTATTAGTGAAATTACAAGACAACAAACAAGGTGATACAGGACGAATAATAATGCAAAACAATGCAAGCAGACAAGAAAATAACAAAGACAAAACAAACGAAAACAGAAATAAAAACCAACAGAACAAAACAGATAGCAGCTGACATCAGTTTTTGAGTTTGGGGAGGGAGTATATAGGTAGGTGTGTGTGTGTGTGTGTGTGTGTGTGTGTGTGTGTGTGTACAACAAAACAAACTTAATAGGAGTGTGCTATAACATTGAATAAGATAATATGACAATATGATGATATGATATATAAATATAATATAGTATAATAACATAATAACAAAACACAATCTGATATAGTAAAGCATGAAATAGAACTATAATAATAATAATAATAATAATGATAATAATAATACTGAAGTAGGATAGAGTATAATAATAAAATAATAGATAATAATAGTCATCTTCATAATCATAATAATAATAATAAGAGGAAGAAGAAACAAACAAAATAAATAAATAAATTATTAATAATAATAATAATAATAATAATAATAATAATAATAATATGGCAAAGAGAGGAGGCAAGGCCAGACCGAGGTAACAGAGAGGCGAGCGAGGGGTCCTCCACCAGGCTCCCAGTGGGACAGCCAGAAGCCCAAGCAGGAGACAGGCGAAGCGGGAGCGAAGGCACCTCTGACCTCCCAACCTCCCTGCCCCCCTCTCCCTTTCTTTTTTTTTTCCTATTTTTTCTTTACCAATGATCCTTTTTTATTTCTTTTTCTCTTCGTTTAGTTTGAATTACTTTTCATTTTAGGGGCGATCCTGCCTTGAGCCGCATCCAGACCTTTAGGTGGATGCCAGCAGTTTGTGTTCCTGGCCACCGCCCTCAACTCCCTTGATATCATCATTTGCCCTGATATTAATAGCCAGTGTTTCTAAAAAAAATTATAAACAACAAGGGGCTAAGAGAACAACCTTGACGGGTCCCACTAGACAGGCTAAAAAATTGTGATATAACCCCATTCGTTATCACTGCAGTCTTTGGCTCCTTCTATAATATCTTAACCCAGTGGGAAAAGTGAGGACCAAACCCAAAATGTGATAAAGCGGTAAAAAGAAAGCTCCATTCCACCTTATCAAAGGCCTTTTCGGCATCTAAAGAAACAGCAGCTATTGTTACATTTTCAGATTGACTCGGCCGCATTAAGTGTAATAATTTTCTTATATTATCAGAGGAGGATCTGTTCTTCATGAAACCCACTTGGTTGGGATTTATAATGTTGGGTAAAACTTGTTTTAGACGTAAAACCAGCACTTTTGTTAAAATTTTACAGTCTAGATTGAGTAAACTAATAGGTCTAAAGTTAGATGGGTCAGTTAAATCTCTGTCCTTCTTAGGGATTAGAGATATCAAGGCTTCATTAAATGTCGGTGGAGCATGACACTTTTCAAAAACCTCTTGATAAACCTTCCGCAAAACTGGAGCAAGAATGTCAACATATACTTTATAATATTCTGCAGGAAACCCCTTTGTAACCTGGTGATTTCCCAGTTTTCATTAGTGAGACAGCTCTCTTTATTTCTTCCTCAGTTATAGGTGACTCCAACTTCTTATCAATGTTAGAGAAAAACAGTTGTTGTTCCTCTTGGATGCTGCTGCAGGGTACTGTTGATGTATATAGCCTCTTGTAATATTGTTGGAATACCCCATTAATATCTTTAGCTGAGGTTACTAGTTTATCACCCTGTTTAATGGCTGATATTACATTTGAGACATTCTTTTCTTTCACTTGTCTAGCTAATATTTTCCCAGTTTTTTCCCCACCCTCGTAAAAGTCTGTTTTTAATCTATATAACGCATATTCTACTTTTTTATTATAAATTTCGTGCAACTTAAATTTGAGCCTACAAAGTTCTTGGTATTGTGAGTCAGAAAAATGTTCAGATAATTGATTTTCCTTTAATTTGATTTCATTCTCTAATTCTTTTATCTTGTTTAGGCTGTCTCTTTTCTTTTGAACTGCATGTGCTATCAGTTTCCCCCTTATGTATGCTTTAGATGCCTCCCAGACTGTTGTAATTTCTTCGGTGCTGCCAATGTTCAGTTCAAAAAATGATTTCAAGTCTTCACCTAATGATGTTCTGAAGGATTTATCCTGCAATAATGAAGTATTCATTCTCCATCTCGTCCTCCTGCCTATGTCCAATTCTGCAGTCACACATAGTTCCACTGCTGCATGATCTGTAATAGCAATAGTTCTTATGTCACAACTGATTACACTATTTATTAAAGGGCTTGCAATTAAAAAGAAATCAATTCTGGAATGGGATTTATGACAGTGAGAGAAAAATGTATATTCCCTCTTGTGAGGGTTAGTAAGTCTCCATATGTTGATAAGACCCATACAGTATCCTCTTTTAGCATATGAATTGCTTCCCTGTCTTCGGTCATCAATATATCCTTAGGCCTGCTTTTGTCTGGAACGGGATCCATCACTTGGTTAAAATCACCTGCCAGTATTATTTGCCTGTCCATGTCTCCCAGGACCTTATTTATCTCATGGAAAAAATCTGGGTCCCCTTTGTTAGTTGCATAGATGTTACATAGTATCACCTGTAATCCTTCTATTAGTGCTTGCACACATATCATCCGCCCTTCTGCATCTTTAACCTCTTTCTGCAACACAAATTGTATATTCCTATTAACCAAAATCATTACACCATTACGTGAGCTCAAAAATGAGCTGTGGAAAATATGTCCTACCCAGCCTGTTTTAAATTTCACCGCCTCATCCCCATTTATGTGAGTTTCCTGTATAAAAATT